GACTTGCAAAAGCCAGTGAAACTCAGGCTAAAAGGCATTTCAATGTCTAAAAGCTGGAGTCTTTGAGTGTCTTACCAACAGCACTGAGGCATAACAAGGAGGAACTCTGTTTTATGACAAGAAAATCTAAACAACTGAAAGAACTTTTACCTGAAGTCGTGCCCAAAGTTCTCTTGCTTCCCTGTCTCCTGAATTCTTTTCAATCATATCCATTTGGGGCTGGATTCTTTGTCTGGCAAAGAAAGTCACCCAGTCAGTCTGCCAGTCATTCACCTGAAGGAAGAGGATTGCAGATGTTGATCCTGCATCACACAATAGACAGCTTTTCTTTTTTCAAATATAACTTTGGAGGAATATACAACTTTATGCTGAGAACACCCCACATAGTAAATGTTACGATTTTAATAAAAAGTATCTTAAAATGTTAAAATAGGGGAAAAATACTGAGCAATAAAATACAAAAAAAAAGACAAGGTATGGATGTCTAATGCTTCTGTAAGTGGTGTCCAAGGCACAACTTTCTTTCACAGGCTAAACAACGCTTTTTCTTCTTAAAACGTCAGAGATAAATGAATTTCTATTACAATATTTGTGGCCCTTTGTTCAGGGCAAAATAAAATAAAATAAAATTCTATCACTCTCATGAAGTGCAACCTACCTGTGGAAGATAGCCACAGCAGGTAACTGTATGAAAGCCAAATTGATCCACAAACTGGACTTCCATTTGCCCTTGCCCTTTACCTTTCAAACCAAAGACAAAAATCCAATACCAATGACAAGATTCTAAGCATCTAAATTACAAATGGACCTTAAAAACTACACAATGAAAGGTAGAAAGCTTTTCCTACTGAGATTTTTTTTTTAAATTGCATGTTAATATACTGCTCGTTACAATGGGTGCTGCTGTCAGTTAACTTTAGAGCTCAGTGTAAATTAACCACGATATAAATTCATCACCAGATTTTGAGGTAGTAGATCTGCTCTAATATCCTGTCCTTGTAGAAGCCACGGTTCAGGATTTCAAGGGTCCAAACTGAATAATCATTTTGCTTACAGAAGTCCAAAATAGAACGAACAGAAGCAAAACAACAAACCCATCCCCACTGAGCCTGAGTGTTTCTTCCACAAATATTCTTAGGCCATCTTTAGTGGAAGAAGAAAATATATCCTGAAATAGCAGAAGCTAATTTAACTGTTTCATAAATTATTAACTAGGTTAAACTCATTCACAGCTGTGTACTGTACCAACTGTGCTCTCTTCTTTCTTCAGCTTCTCTCCAAGTTGCTGGTTATGAAGGTGGAGATCAGCCAGTTGAGTTCCAAGCTTTGATGAATGCCTAGAAACAAAAACATCCTTAGCAAAGAAGACAGAACTCAGACTCTTTATCTGTCACTCATTCTGTCGTCTTCTCTCTAAAAGGCCTATGAGACCAAAGAGTATGATGGCCTTCATTGTATCTTCTCTTTTTAATTCTTAAATAGCAGTTTGCCCTTTACACAGTTCAGGAAAGTCCTGCTATAATTACAAACAACTCTCGCAGCCAATTGCCTCCCATGTGAATGACACTGTGCTACTTCTCCTGTCTCTCAACTCTCACATCTCTCCCTAGTTCTAAAGGCAGTCATGTAAGGCAAGGTCATTTCTCCATGTTCTTCTCATTAACACATATCATAGCAATCTCCTGAAATTTGCTGGTTGAGGATGCATTTGTACCCTTCTTCTTAGTCAGCAAAAAAACACAACAGAATTTCTGCTCCTCCTGTTGGAGCTCACTGAGTTGTCTCAACCAATTAGAAACTAAGCTGGCTGCAGAAATTCTGAGACTAAAACAGGAAATCAGCTATGCCCATCTCCTAATGAAACTGCAGGGAAATACTCATCGCTTTTTAAGTTACTCAAGCATTTGCAACAAAGAAGGGCCAAAGGCTTAAAGCCATCAACATCAATGTGAGAACTATTGAAAAAATAAAATGAAATCTGGATGCAATCATGCTTGGAAGTGGCTTTCCATTTTCATGACAAGAAATAATAAACACTGGTTCTTATATCAAATACAAGCATATAAAACAGCTGACCAAATAAGTAGTTTACTGTAGTCCTTACTGTAAAGAACAACCATTTAAAAATAATTAAGTATTATAAAATTAAACAACATACACACTTACTGATGAATGACCTGACTTACTAGCTGAAGTATTCTGATGTATTTTGTGTATTTCATATAGTTCTCTGCTACATACATTCCTAGAAGTATTTTGACCTTGAAAAAAAATTCCCCCCCCCCCCCCCCAGAAAAAAGATATTTACAAGATATTTAATTACCATGGCAGTCAACACTTCTGACAAAAGAAGCAATGATACTGCTGTGTTTTACCTGTTTAAGCCTCTCATTTCCAAATGTTCCATCACAAACAGAGTACTGACCCCAGGCAGCTCTATAACTTTGATGGGTTTAGGCACTTTTATTGTCTCTGTTTTCAGGATGGCTTCTAGACTTGCCATTTCTCCCTCAAACATTCTTCTAGCCTGTCAAATATTAAAGGAAAGCATTAATCTCTATTAACGCCAGTCACAGGTAGAGAAAATTATTTCATAAAACCAATCAAGGCTGTAAACACTAAATAAAAACAAAGAACAAGTAGGTTAATGCATGTACAAGACAGAGATAGATCCAAACAACCTCATCTGACAACCGGTTTAGAATTAGATTTCACTTCATAATGTGATTCCATTAAGGGGACTTAATTTCTGCCGTGCTCTATAAACACAAAACCAACTTTGTCTGTTTACAATAGAAAGAATATAACTCATGTATATAAAATGTAAGTGATATTTTATTAATTGACCATGAAGCAAATGACTAGGAAGATACATTTCTGCAATTATTATCCACTTTGAGTAACATTTATTCTCTTGAGTTTCTCCACTGATATCAGAGGCACTAATCACATGAAGAAATACTGCTCTAGAAGAGTTACACGGAGTTGCAGAAGACACATGGGAAATTGGTAATCTGAGGGTAAAAGCAATAAAAATAAAAATAAAAATAAAAGCAATAAAATATAATGAATAAAACAGAAACAGAATACAGTGAGAGGACTGTTTACAACAGACATCGACTTAAAATTCCACAACCGAAAGATAAAAGAATGAAATATTGCTACGATGCCTTTGTTTGGAGGAAATCTGTAAACTCTGCAATTCTATCTACATCATCATAACAGTAGCTCTGTTATGATAACTCTAATAGTTAGAATTAACTCTAATAGTTGGAAAAAAACCAGCGTTTTCTAGAGGATTTTGTTTTTTTAAAGAAACTGCTGATATATACACTGCACTGCATTACAACTGCTTGGCAAAGTTTGCTTTAATCAGCATTTGGAATCCACAGACACAAGCAAAATAATTATTATATTAAAAAAAAAAAAATACTGAATAGAAAACCTTTCCAGATCTTTTTCCATGGCCCTATCTCGTAATTAACTGCACTGAATCCCTAAAAACGCACTGAACAAAAGCCTCAGTAGAACAGCTGTGTTTCACAGAATCACAGAATGGCCAGGATTGGAAGGGACCTCAAGGATCATGAATCTCCAACCCCCCTGCCACATGCAGGGCCACCAACCTCCATATTTAATGCTAGACCAGGCTGCTCAGAGCCCCATCCAACCTGGCCTTGAACACCTCCAGGGACGGAGCATCCACAGCCTCTCTGGGCAGCTGTTCCAGCACCTCACCACTCTCTGGGTAAAGAATTTCCCCCTGATGTCTAACCTCAATCTCCCCTCCCTCAACTTAAAAACATTTTTCCTTGTCCTGCAGTTATCAATCCTTTCAAAGAGTTGATTCCCCTCCCCTCTGTAGGCTCCCTTTAGGTATTGAAATGCTGCAATGAGGTCACCCCACAGCCTTCTTTTCTCCAGGCTGAACAAGCCCAGCTCCCTCAGCCTGTCTTCGTAGGGGAGGTGCTCCAGTCCCCTGATCATCCTAGTGGCCCTCCTCTGGACCCTCTCCAACAGCAACAGTTTCAATTCAAAGCTTTTTCAGCCTCACACAGAGCACCACAGCCTGCCAGTGTTTTGCTTCCTTACCACCTACAGTGCATCAATCTTTGGTTCCCTGACACAATCAGGGAGCATCAACAAATTCAGAAGCATCTATAGGTGCAAGCAAACTTTAAAAACGATTCTTTGTTATTAAATGCAAATAGAAGTTCTTTGGTTAGTCCAGTGAAACTGCCACAAGCACAGAGTACCTTTAAAGTAAATTTTACCCAATCTTGATTTTTTTATACAAGCACACCATATACGAATGCTGTGCTGTATCATCTGCCAAAGGCAGACGGTTACTTTCTACAGCAGCTGGCAACGGATGTTGAAAGAACAAAGCAGAAAGTCGTGGACAACCGTGCATCATTGATTGTGAAAAGCTCCCTACTGAAGGAAACGAGTGGTTGTTAGCACAAATTAACAAGCATGTCCTCACTCAATACAGCTCTCTGGACACTTCCACAGCGCTTGCAGCTGCAGCGATGCAGCACTGCTCCTGCCCTGTATCAGAAACAAGCAGCAGGGGACAAGCTGCCAAACCAAGCAGATCTCCAAGCTCAGCAGCAGGCCAGCTCCTGGACTCCAGCTGCTTACCCGCTACCGTCTGAGGCCAGCCGGCCAACCTCACCTCCCCCCTCACAAAGAGGCTCAGCCCAGCCCGCCTCCAAGGAGCGGCCGCCCTCACAGAACCCCGCGCCGAAACAGATGCTCGCCACACGCACCCAACCCTCAACACCCCCCCCCCACCTCCGGCTTAGAGTTGCTCTTCACATACACCCGGCCGCCGTCCGTCTCATAGCTCTGGCCCTGGCTGATACAACCGCCCCCCGAGTGCCCGGTAGCGCGGAGCACCGCGGTGCCCAGCTCCCGCCTCAGCGCTTCCTCCATGCCGCCTGCCGCGACCAGCGCCCAACTGAGCATGCGCGGAGCGGCTGCGCGGTGTGACGGGGGGCAGGGCCAGCAAGATGGCGGCGTTGTGTGAGGTGAGGGGCGATGGGTGGGCAGGGTGCTGGGTGCTGCTGGGTGTAGCTGACGGGAGCGGGCTGGCTAAAGGCGAGCGCTCAGCTGTGACTTCTGAGGGCGATGGCCTTTGTTTTTGTGTTAGCTTCTCTGCAGTCCGTTAGTGTTGGACGTGAGTCAGCGTCGATCAGAGATAAACAGTAAATCTCTTTTCTTCCTATTAGACTTTTGGGGTGACCTCGTAGGTAACTTCGTTAAATATTTAGTCAACTTTATCGAAAATACAAGTTTCCAAGTGTAGAAGCTGGAAGAGCTCCTACTAATCCATTTTATTCAGGTCTCTGTTAGTCTGAGATATATATTTTGATTTTATATACATATTTTTATATTATATATTATATTATATATTATGTTTTATATATTTTTATAAATTATTTTCTTAATGCCTGTGGTCTCACTGGTTTTAATAGAAGAACTGAAGTTCCTTCTTCCCAGAAATGTCCCTACTTTTCATTTTCAAGCCTTCCCATATGTCTTTATTATTTATTTTCTTTTCAGTTGCAGCGTCTTTATGGACAAACTTGATGTTTTGGAGTTTGGCAGGATGTCTGGATTTACAGCAGTCCAGACAGAACTACCTTGAATGTTTTTGCTATGCTGATACATTTCTGTCTTCTACAGTGCCTGCGGAGATCAGCTGTGTGCTGCGTTTGTACCAAATCCAAACCTTGTGCTCTATACTATCTTATGACGTTCATTGTACCGTAATTGTTTCTGTGCTTCATGTATTTACTTCCTTGGAAAGCACACTGTGTGAAGATACCATCAAGAGCAAATGAGCCGCATGTTTTGTGCACAAGAAATGTGACATCTCCGTTTTGTCAGATTTACTGCATGTACCAAGACTATTCATGTGGCAGGTTTGCATTGTAATTGGTGCTTTTTAGAAGTACATATTCGTTGTCAGTCTAAAAAAATTACAAATTGACGCACGATGGCTTCAGCTTGGGCTTTTAGCCACTCCAAATATGTGAAAAACATGCAAAGTTTTGCCTGCAGAAGGCTGGTATAATTGCCTTTTTGTGCAGCTGAGCAGTAATTCACTTAACAGTTGGCTGTAAAAGGCATCACTGTTTGTAGATGTGACAATGATAGGTTGAAGCCCTGTGTCTTAAACAGAACCAGGGATAATGTAGTGCCATGAGGGTATGGGAATAGAAATGGAATATCTTTTTGCATTCCCCAATTCATTTTCATTCCTAGATTTTCATTTTTGATGTATATTGGCTCTCCTGAGTTGTTGTAAAAAATATCCTTAAACCTGCATTACAAAGATCAGGTTCAGATAACTGCTATGGCTGTTGAAGAATGACTGAGATGATGCTGAAGGAAACCTAATTTTCTGTTTGGAAGAGGATTCGACAAGCTTTATTTCAGCCTTCTTATTCAGAGAATAAAAAAGTAATGTTTTTCAAAAGACTTGCTCTTCTAACAGTAGTAGTTTCTAACAAATTATGAGATTTTGAATGATTTAACATGACCAGCACCGTTTGTTGGGGTTTTTTTGTTGTTGTTTTTTTGTTTTGTTTTGTAAATAAATGACATGATTGCAGTTTTTGTTTTTTTTTTTTAATTTCCTGTTGTTGTTTTCTTGGGGTTTTTTTAGGTTTCTTATTTTGACAAAACATTTAAATCTATTAATCATAAATTCTAATTGTTTTCTATTAAAGTAGAATTTAATGTGTGTGGCTCAGTGTTCAAACACTAAGTTGTAGATTTTCCAAACTGTCAGTAAATATTCACTAAGGGACAACATAAGGAACAGCAAGCAATTGCACTTAATTGCATGGAATTTAATTGGATTGTACTGCTTTCTGATTGCATCTGATCAGATAGGATGTAACAGAAGTTTGGCCAAAACTGTAATGTCAAACTCATCGTGTGGTGGACGTAATCTGGGGGAGGAACTGACAGCATGCTTTGCAAATTAGAAAGTAAGCATTCTGGAAGATCCTCAGCAAGACACACAAGACATAGCATTCCTAAAGGCACCATGGAGCATCTTTGCAGGAGGCCCTGGCTCCCAACTCCTGCAGGTGTTGGAGAAGTAGGATTTGGGAGCTGTTTCCACACAGATAACCTTTGTAGTGCATGTTCTAACTTCAAGCTCTTTGTGAGCCTGCTGCATGCTGCCTTTGGCCTCTGTTCCATAGATTACTGTCACCATTTGAAATAAACCACTGAGTCAGGCTGCAGATGTACTTACTGAGGATTATAAAACAACCCTTAGCTGAAACCCTGTACTGAAATTGTTCGTGCAGTGCAGGTCTGTATGCCACAAAAGGCATGTAGCACTGTGGGTTGACTTTGCAATAATCCTTTCTTGCCTGCCTCCACTCTTTTCCCCCTCTCTCCCCCCATATCATTCATTCCTATTGGAGTATTTTGAAAAGCTTGCAGCAGGCTATTGAACCCACCCACTTTCCTCTGCACTGTTGGGGTTCAATAGCAATATTTACCTTGTTCTGGTGCCTGTGTAGCGGTTAACTTTCTGTTTAAAATAGCATTTCTTTCTGTGGAGGAGAAGATAACTGGCACGCTGGGCTGCAAATTATTTGGTGAGTCACCAGTTAATACACACGTCCTGAATAGAAAAGCACTGCAGCTGCTAATTGCTGTTTACTGCTTGACATTATGTACAAGAAAAGAAAAGGTAATTGGTATGTACAGCCTTTTATTAGGTGGTTTATATATACAAGTGGCAAATACACAGAGGGGCTTTTTAGGCTCTACTTCTGTAAACATATAAGTCATATGCTGTGGGCTCTTTTTGTCTTTTTTCCTCTCCCACATCCATGGATGAGCTGCGGGGGTGGATCAGGAAGGATGTAGGACTTTCCATCAGAGAAAAGAGATGATTTATAAGACAGTCATTGGCGTTTGCTGTTAGAGCTCTTCTTTCTCTCTGAACATAATTTGCCCTGAGAGAGAAATAAAATTCCTCAAGTCATCTGTGTGAGAAAATAAGTGGAAATGAACTGAGAAGTTTCATGATCAAAACAAGACTGACCTTAAAAAGTGGAATTTTGCTATCGTTCTGATTATGCAGAAACACTGAAATCCGTGTTTCCACGTGTGCTTATTTGCAGAGCCAATGCCTCCATGGGTTCATTTTCGGTAGTTTCTGAAGCCATTTCATGGGTGTGATTTGGGGTGGAATCTGAGTGAAAGTGAGAGAAATGCCAAAGGGCTTGTTCTTACTTGCTGCAGAAACAGGAATCAGAGAGGTTTCTGTTGTGCTGTTTTTGTTGCTGTTTTTCCCGAGGGATGAGTATTTAGGCTTTGTCTCCCTCTGTTTTTGATACAGCCTTTGCCATATTGCCAGTGTGTTTGATTGCTGTCAAATTTCTGCCTTTTCAATGACCCGAGGAAGAACAATGTTAATATATATAACTTTAATAATGAGAAGATTTTATGTTCTTTGTGAGGGTTAAAAAAAAAGAATTGAGTCTCGATTGGTTCTCTGTGGTTGTTTTCAGTAAATATAGCTGCCACTTCAGATGTTTGAGAGTTTCTGCTGGTTTTTTTGCTTCTTTATTAATCCTGACAAAGATGTTATTTGCAATTGCGACTCAGGCTTAGCCTACTTCTATATGGCACAGTAGAACTCTATATGTATCACTATTTATTTAAATCATACTTGCTGCTGCCCCTGATCAGGCTGTCTTAGTGCTTGAAAGTGGGTTACAAAATGCATTTTCTTGTCTGTCATTCAGCCAGGTGATGGGTTAAAGATTTGTGGGCGTATTCGAGTTTCCCAGTTCCTGTATAAAGTACAGCCAAGAGCTGCCCTCAGAATAAACCTGGGCTTGGCACAGATTGGTTCTAAACGTGATTAGATATAAGCATGAGATAAGGGGAACTAGTTGGGAAATGGAAACATTTCGGAATTCTACTGTCTGTGGCATCGAAAAAGTCCTTGAAAAGCATTGGTTCTTTCATTTGTAACAATTGATGAGTGAAAAGCTTCAGATTAAAAGAAGTTTAATTTACAAGTTAGGATTATGCAAATGCTTGGTTGTTTTTTTTCTCCTCTTCTGTAGTGAACTTTGGGAAAAATTAAACACAATTTCAGTAAAGCAAAATATAATGATTAGTTTGTACTTAATTTTTTTTTCTTACAGCATCTGAAAGCACTCCACTGAGAGTTGTGGGTTAAATCCCATGACAGTCTGTACTGGCTGTGGCAAATCGCTCTGGGAAGCTGAGGCAGAAAGAATTGGAGGGAGCTGGCTGAGTTCGTAAAGGAAATCTCTGCTGGAAGTGGGATCGGAGCACAGTTTCCTGATGCCCAGGGCTGTACTGCATAGCGGGAATACAAAGGTCTGCTCTGCTTGCATTTAGCCCATTGAAAACTGAGATGTACGCTCGGATGACGCATCAGGAAGAAGAGCACATCTCCGTGTACATCTTCGACAGCAAAGCACTGGAGCCTGGGAAACTGTTGTTTGTTGTTGTAAATTATCTTCTCCACTTCCAGCTGGACTTGGACTTTTTATGAAGAATATGTAACTGTTGGATGCAGAAGTACAGCAGTGAGGGGATTGTCTGCTCTACTGTGGGAATGTGATGTTCTGATGCCCATGGCTGCAATGTGCTTTGTGGTCTTTTGGGTTGCACAGCATTAGCAATAGCAGTGAGAGATACGGTGGTGTGAGTCTGAGTTGGCAGCTTTCTTTGCAATTATGAAATGAGCGCATGATGAATTTTTGAATAGATGAGTAACTTGACTTTGTATCATATCCATGCTAACAGATTTTCTTAGAGAAGGATGTGTTTTTCTCTTATTTTGAGCAGAAATACAACATACAGACATATTTCAGTGTCAGGTTTATGTTTGAGTGTAGGTAATGCAGAAAAAGTCCAACATGCATGGTGTATATAATACTTCCTTGGAATTATATGCGGTTTGGGCAAAGCATGTGTGTATTTGTGGGTGTTTTCAGTACAAAAAGGGACAAAAAGACCTTTTGTCAAGCTGTAGTTTCTATGTGGAGCAGTGCTTTGTGGATACAACTGATTTGTTTGTTTCTTTGTGCAAATGTTTTTTGCCAGTTTGACTCTACTAAGTGTTCTCTTCGGACTTGGGAATTATTAGGGCTAACATTTCTTTTTCTAAAGAAACGTTTCAAATTCTGTCTGCTGGCAGACAAGCAGCTGGCAAGGTCACAAACGCTCGGGGTGAGCAGAGGTGTTACGATGAGGTGTCAGAAAGGAGATATTCCTGCCAGCACCTGGGATTCGAGGTGATGCATCGATCTGAATTTGTTTTGGTTCTGAATTTATTTCCGAGCTGCCGACACGCGGAGATTCAGCATTTCCCCCCAAACGCCCCGTTTCCCTGCCTGTCAGTGCTGTTTTCCCGGGGTTCGAACACGTGGCCTGGAGCTCTAGCTCCGGCGGGGAGGTGGGACTTAGCGAGATTGATGGGCTAACGAGCCAATGGCTTGCTTGAAACCCTGTAGCAACTGAGCCGCTGTCTCCCGCTAGAAACACGAGGAGGGGGCGTTCGAGGTGCGCGGCCCCGCAATGGGAGCCGAGGTGGGCGGGGTTACCTCAGACGGGTGCGCCAATAGGCGGCGGTAGGGCGGCCGCAGCGACGCGAGGATGGACGGGGCTGTTGTTACCGCTCACCAATGAATGCTGAGGGGGGCGGGGCCGGGCGGGAGCGGTCCAATAGCATGGCTGGGGGGCGGGGCCCGGCGTTCTGTCAGAGCGCCGCGGCAGCGGGCTGAGGGCTGATCGAGCGCGGCTGCGGTTCGGCGCGGGCAGGCGGTGAGGCGGGGACGGACGGACCGGCGGAGCGGGACGGGACCGACTCCCCGCTGAGCCGAACCCCTTCGCCTTCCCGAGTCGCGACAGAAGGTCGGCGCCGTCTGTCGCGAAAGACGACCATCTTCGTTCTGTCGCGACATGACGCGCTCCGCCGCCGTTCCCCGCCGCTGACACCGGGCTTCGGGCACGACGGGACCGCAGCGCTGCCGGCGATCAGGTCATGCCGCCGCCCGCCCGCGCCGCCGCCCGCCGCCGTGTCCTCACTGCCGGGATGGGCCGCGGGAGCTGAGCCGGCGCGGAGGATGAGCCAGGCGGGCAGCCCGGGGAGAGCCTACGACTTTCTGCTGAAGTTCCTGCTGGTGGGAGACAGCGACGTGGGCAAGGGCGAGATCCTGGCCAGCCTGCAGGACGGCGCCGCCGAGTCGCCCTACGGCTATCACATGGGTAAGGGCCGCCCCGCCCGCGGGACCGGCTGCGCCGTGCGGGGACGCGGAGCTGCCGGCGGAGCGGGATCCCGACGCGGTGTAACGGGCCGTGCGGGCCATCTGCGCTGTGCAGCTTCATACACAGAACGCGTTGTCAGGGTGGTGAGATTTCTCTTACTGAGCAGTCATCCGTAAAGGAAGAGAAACGCTAGGAAAAATCTTGTTCTTGTAAGTATCCGTGAAACAGCAAATGTATTTGCTCTGAAACAGCTTTCGCTGGAAGAAGAGATTGCTTTTTCTCCCTGTTTATCGCTCTTCCTCATCGGAAGAGTGGCCCTTTAAGACCAAGGTTCGCGTTTGTAGTGTGTTCTTTCACTTAAGCTTTTTAAAGGGCAAGATAGAAGAGCCTCATCCTTGCCAGGTATGTTCTGTCTGCAGACCAGAGTTCTGAACACTGCCAGCTGATTCCCTAGCCAGTGGCTTTGGGAGAACGGATTTTTTTTTTCCTTCTTTCTCCCTGTTCTCTTCATGTCCCCTGACCTATTTTCCTAGAACACAACTCTAGTCTCCCCTTTTCCTTCCTACTGCAAACCTATTGTGTGAGTTATTAAAAAACAAGCGATCTTGTAAAATTACCCGTTGCTTCAAATTACTGCTACTATAAGTCTCTGACTAGTTAATTCATTTGGAAGGCTTTGCATTTGTTATTATATTGAGTTCGTTGCTCTGAATCAAAGCAAAGGAGTGGGTGGAGGTGGAGAGTTCTTTTTGTGGTTGCTTATGAGTCAGACTGCGCCTCGAAGGTATCTGCGTGCATCTTAAGATGTTTACTTAATAGCTTTTGCTACCTTCCTCCTTGGGATGTTGCACTCTCCTCAGTCTGGATCTTCCAGGTGACTGGAGAAAAAGGGGAAAGGGCTTCAGGGGGGAGCAAGCCAAGTCTGGCCCGGTTCTGTACATGTGGTCTAAGTTTATACATCCTTATTCAGCAGCAGCAGTGCAGTTGCCAGTATGCCTTGACATAACAGTTTTTGACCAGCTCCCAAGCTCATAGATCATACTTTAGTCCTTGAATATAAACCTTGTGCTACTCGTGGCTTGCATGCAAATCACATTTAAATTGTGTTGGTATCTTTGTGAGTGCATCTCTCGATAGCCAAGAAATACAAATATTCTCTTGGAATTATTTAGTGAGTACTTAATGTGCCGCTTGGAGAATCTTCATTCATAATAACATCTCTAAAATATTTTCACACGAGGCTGTACGTTCTGTGCTGTGCTTTGTGGATTGTGGTCTCTTCACCAGTCTTAACTATACACAGACAGATCCAGTTATTCATGTGTCACCAAACCTCTTACGCACAAGTTGTTCTTCCATGGAGAGAGAAAGGAGTTGTAGCCACAAGCTGATGTGCACATGTGAAGAGAGGGGTGTGAGATACAAGTGAGGGCAGATGTAATGGAGGATGTGGTCCTGGGCTGTAAAGGAACACGGTAATGAGCGGCATCCCCAGGGGTCTGTCTTGGGACTGGTGCTCTTTAACATCTTTATCCATGACAGCGGTGATGGAATCAAGTGCACCCTCAGCAAGTTTGCTGATGACACCAAGCTGAGTGGCGCGGTTGACACAGCTGAAGGAAGGGATGCCATTCAGAGGGACCTCGAGAGGCTGGAAAGGTGGGCCCGGGTGAACCTGATGAGGTTCAGAGTTTTGCACTTTGGCCTGGCATCCATACAGACTGGAAGGAACGGTCCTTGAGAGCAGCTCTGTGGAGAAGGACCTGGGGGTCTTGATAGATGAAAAACTTAGCATGAGCCAGCAGCGTGCCCTTGCTGCTTGGCAGGCAAATGGTATCCTGGGCTCCATCAAAAGAGCGGTGGCAGCAGGGACTGGGAGGTGATTGTCCCCCTCTACTCTGTTGTTGTGAGGCCCCATCTGGAATACTGTGTCCAATATGGAGCCCCCAGTACAAAAAAAATAGGGAAGTATTGGAGAGGGTCCAGAGGAGGGCCACTAGGATGATCAGGGGACTGGAGCACCTCCCCTATGAAGACAGGCTGAGGGAGCTGGGATTGTCCAGCCTGGAGAAAAGAAGGCTGTGGGGTGACCTCATTGCAGCATTTCAATACCTAAAGGGAGCCTACAGAGGGGAGGGGAATCAACTCTTTGAAAGGATTGATAACTGCAGGACAAGGAAAAATGTTTTTAAGTTGAGGGAGGGGAGATTGAGGTCGGACATCAGGGGGAAATTCTTTACCCAGAGAGTGGTGAGGTGCTGGAACAGCTGCCCAGAAAGGCTGTGGATGCTCCGTCCCTGGAGGTGTTCAAGGCCAGGTTGGATGGGGCTCTGAGCAGCCTGGTCTAGCATTAAATATGGAGGTTGGTGGCCTTGCATGTGGCAGGGGGGTTGGAGATTCATGATCCTTGAGGTCCCTTCCAACCCTGGCCATTCTGTGATTCTGTGATTTAATCTTACGTTTTGTGCAACTGTGGTATAATTAAGATTTTGTTTACACAACCACAGCATACTGTTACATCTCACTTAATGAAAGATGTTAACTTGAACTGTGGAAAATTTGTAGAAAATACTTTCTTGCTCTTCATCCATCTCTGTTTTTCAAGGTATAATGTTCTCCACTGTACCAAATGTGGAGGACTTTTGAACACTTGCATGTATGCTTACCAGTTGTTATCCCTTAATATCCCTTCAGCTCTTCCTGCATCACTTGAGTACAGCAACATAGGATGCAGCTGTGGGAGACCTGTGCGGGCTGTGAGAATGGAGATGCTGTGAGAGGGAGCAAGCTAAACATCCTGTTGGTGTTATGACTCACTTTCTGATTTGACTTAAAAGCTTGATAAACAGGAGGAGAATTGAAGTGAGCCCTGCAGGACGTGAAGAGAGGTAGGAGGAAGACGTGGTGAGGATGGGCTGATCAGCAAAGAACACTGCTTGTTGTCTTCGGCAGCATCAGATTAGTTGAGCAAGCAAGGAGAATGAAGACAAAGTAAAACACAGAGTTGACCAGAACAGCATGTGCTATCGTTTGGGTTTGTTTTTTTTTTTGGTGTGGTGGTTTGTTTGGATTTTTTGTTTAGCTTTTGAATGCCCAAAGGCTTTGTGTTCATCTATGAGCTGTGTAATTGTGCCATCTCATGTGAATGGGCTCAAACTTCAGTTGTATAAACCAGAAATAATTTTTTCGCAGACACTTTGACTAGTTATTCAAAAATAAACCTGCAGTCTCTCTCATTCCTGGGAAAATACAGCAGTCACGTGTCTTACTATTTTTTTGTCAGTACACAAAATTGATACAAAATCTGGAGGCAGGAAGGGAAGCCAGCATCGTGTGGTCTCTCAAGTCTCTGCAAGCTGCTGCTGGTCCAGGAGCTGTAGTATGAAAGCATTTGGCATAATACAGCTAGTAAGATGAAATACAGCCTCTTCATCTCTGAATTCTTAATGACCAGAGGGCTCTGGCTTGGAAAGAAGAGAAGAAGCTTTATTAGCATAACAAAGTAGGGACTGCTATGGAAGATACATTAGTGAGCACGATTCATAAAGATAATCCAGAAAGCAGTTATTCTGAAGGTGGGCAGGTAGGCAGTAAGGTTAGTTGTCTGGGTAACCTGCTGTTAGAGGTTTCCCACATCTTGCTGAAAACTGAAATATTGCAGGTTGGACGCGCTTGATAAGGAAAAAAATGCACAAAGATGATCTTAGGGAGCTGCAGAAACTTTGCTGCTAAGTATTGCTAATTTATCATCAGAATATATTTGGAGGAAATAGAATATAATACTTTAGATGTTCTGTCACTGGGCAGAAAAATATTTTCATGCCTTGCACCAACAGATTTTTATTCAGCTGGGTTCTGTTTTTGCTTCCACATTAAAATAGAAAAAATTTTGCTTGTGATGAGATTGCTTGACACGGGGGCTGAAAGGAGTGATTGCCTACACTTAATGCACTCCTAGTCCTTTTCTTGCAGGAACCCCAGGTTTACACTGGCAAATTCTTTCATCCTTTCTCCCTCAGTGACCTTTTTATGTTGCATCTCAGGGAGAACAATAATTGATCACTTTGCTGTTATGGGGTAGCTTTCCAAAAGGCATGAATTCCTCCCCCACTTCCCTTTAAATTACATTAAAATTCATTTGTGTGCCCACTCATCTCAGTTAAAAACGTGTAAATCAGCATTTTTGTAGAAAGGAGAAGCAGGTGGGATTTGATCTCATACAAAAGCTAAGTGCCAAGAAGGCAACTGGTTTCTTATGTTGTTATTATGGGCTGCCATGGCACTGGTGTTTCAGACAGGGCGTCTGACTTCTTTTGGGATGGGCCTGTGAAGCAGTGATGGATGCAGCTCTGAGTGTGCTGGTTACAACTGCTCCTTCAGTGCTGCCTTCCAAGAAGGACTACGTTAATTCTGGGTTGTAGTATGTGATGCATGTGGAGAAAGAGCCCCTCTATTACTTTATAAGACGTGCCCGCTTCATGAGACCAGTGCATTTTCCCCCATGTGTGGAAGCAGACTTAAGTGTAACCTTTTTTTTTTTCTTTTTCTTAACCTTTTTTCTGCATATAAACACAGATAAAGGGTCCTTTCATGTTGTCTGTGACTGCCAGGTCGGTCAGTGGATTTGTTTTGTTGGGGTTTTCTTGTTTCTAGCTGGTCTTGCACATCTGCTGGAACAATTAATATTCATCTCGCTTGATTTAATGGAGAAGTAGTAATCCTAGGCATGAATGGTAGTTCATAGGTTTTCCTAAGTTTCTTTGAAACTTCCGTAAAATTAGTTTTGCTTTGTTACACACCTCTATTCAACCAGCTTCCTTCAGCCTAATGTAGTGAAATCATTTCTTTGGCTTAATGTTACTCAGCAACTTTGGAATCAGGAGCTTGCATCCGTGTCATGGCCAAGAGTTGCGTTTCATGAAGGTGAGCAGGTAGGCTGTCTCACCCTGAGGTCTGCAGACCCCCTTGATCAGTGGGCAAGAACTGCTGTTCTCCCCATCTCTCCCCTCATCTTACCAATATCCCTGCCTAAAACTCACCTGCACAGACATGTTGGAATTTGATACCTGCTATTGCTGCTTGGGTTTGTTGTGGCAAAAATGGTTACAGCAGTAGCTCACTTTCTCCTTTTTCTTTCTCATGCCCATTCTCTAGCTCACTGTGCTGCCTGTCTCCATTTCCCTTGGGTTACTGGTGTCCTTTTTTTTTTCTTTTTTCTCCTCCCTTTAATTTTTTACAGATGTGCAGGAGTGGGAAAGAAACTGTAAATAAACAAAATTACCAGGAAGCTCCCAGACAGGTGTGCAACATGAAAGGAAAAGTCCAGGCTGGTTTGGAAAGCGGTCAGACTTCAGGCTCATTTCAGTCTTTTAAGTTGCTTTGACCTAACCCAAAAGGTGCTCATCTGTGCAATATGTTGATTAAAATACATTTACATATTGCTGTAAACTTGCTCTTGTTCTGGGAATATAATGAGAATGCAAAATGGGATGAAGAATAGAAATTGGTTAATTAAAAAAAAATAATAATTATTTCTATCCAATATTATTTAGTTTCTCTGGATTTTGTTTAATGCAAGACTGAAAATACAGAAAAGCAGTACCATTTTATCCAGTCCTTGACATGGGCTGGAGTTTGTCGTGCTGGTTTTCTTTAAGGAAAATCTCAAGCAAGGTTCTGATACACCAGACAAATTTGTTTTGAGCTTGCTGTGCTTTTTCCATCCACTTTTCACTGTTGATACAGTGGAACACATCCATACAAATAATTATTCTTTTTTGTTATGCCTTCCTGTGTTGTAATAAAGTATGAACTGGTTAAGTAGGCAGACAGTCACAACTTGGAGTCCCACAGCAAAGTGAAGCTGTTGCAGCTAAGGCACCGATTTACTGATCGTTGATATAGCGCATGTGGAATATCCAGTCTTCCAGAAAGGTGGAATAAAGCCTTCTGTGTCAGCATTATAATTTAGTACCTATTCAGGGCAAAGTCTACAAAAACAATGGTGTTCACAGCAGCTGTTATGTATCTGCACTGTCACTCAAATCTAAGGAGAAGTTGAGAACTAATTAGTAGGAAGCTCTAATCTCATGTCTGCCCAGGAGTGGAGGAGGCTTAAAGGTCTGGAAACTGACACTGCTCCCTTATTTATAGTAGCCTGAGGCTTTAATGTAGCACATGCCTGCTATGGTATGATTGCATTTTTGTTTGGTCTGTTAGTCAGGCTGTTATTCTGGCTTCATATATTGGAAGAAGGAATTCATGAGTCTTTCTTTGGACCTTGCTGGTAGCTCTCTGCAGGAGGTGTGCCTTTTATAGCCCTGAGGGCTGCAAGTCACCGAGGAAGTTGCTCTTAGAGCTGGACCAAATCTCTGAGCTGTGCTTTAGCTAAGGTGAGAATCCTTGTAGTAAACAAAAATAACTGCTTTTGAAGTGGGGAAGAAGAGGGAGCGGGGCCTAGCAGGGAAAACACCCTTACACACGTACAGAAACTTCTCTGTCAGGTCGGTAACATAGGACGGTTCTGTAGGCATGTGAATGTTAAAGATTGAGCATTTTGGAATTGTGTTTGTTGTCAGAAGCAGGGAAATGGGAAAGCTGTTTATTGTTCGTGAGATACAGCCTCGTGCTAAGCTGAAAGCTGATATAACAGCTTCACTGTTTTTCTCTGTGGTGTTGGATTTGCTGGTGTGCAGGAACTGTGTGCGGTCAGCAAGGGCTGCCAGGAGACAGAGGTGAGTGCAATAGGTGGGAGCGTATGGGAGAGCACGGGCTGTTGGCCCAGAGCATTGGGCACTGACATCTTTTCTGGAACACTGGATTTCAGTGTAGACGCTGGTAGTTTTATGTATGGGGGTGGAGAAGCTGATGAGAATTTTTAGTGGGGAGATTTCCATCTGTTTTGTCAGCTTATTTTTAAGAACTTAACATGTGATTTCTTGAGTCAATGCAAAATCAAACCATCCAGAGTTTCTCCCAGTGTATTATTTTTGGATCTCAGCTTCACATTCATATAACATGAGCTCCTGGCAATACCTGTTTTCGTAGTGTCTTTAAGTGTACTTGCACAGAACTGTTTTCATTCTTGACTCAGGAGATGACCTATCTAATGAAAACTCCCAGCGATTCTAAATACGTAGCTAGTTTAAGACCCATGTTTATGTGCAGATGTAATAAAGGAGACTGAACATGTGGCCACATTTAGAAGTGAACTGCAGTCCAAGAGTGACGCATTTGCCTTATATGAGTTGTGGCTCATCTCTTGCACTTTCAAATGCAGGCTGATGGCTTGTGTCAAATGCAGGCTGATGGCTTCTGACTGTAATTTGTTTAGTGTAAGGTGTGTCCCAGGCTGATGGCTCGCGTTTTACCTCTCTGCTCTTCAGCCTAGTTTTATGCTGTGTTTGTTCAGCACAACTTGGCAGTCAGTACCTCACTAGGAGGCTCCTGCCATTTCTCCTCTGGACTGTGATTGCATGCAGGGAGCCCTGCCCTGGCCTTAGCAGTGTATGTCTGTTCTGATCCCACATCAGCGAACTGAAATAGCCAAGAATGCCTGCTATTCCAGTGAATATATTGAAGAAACAGTCAAAAGTCTATTTGAGGATTTAATGCTCAATTTGCTTGTTGTTATAGAAAGTGGGCTGTTATTGTTGCTTGTATGAAACAGAAAAGATATTAATTAAAAAAAAAAGTTTAATTTAAAAAGCAGAAAGGGGCTGTTATTCCATGGACTTCAAAACAAAGTAACTTACAAATTTTAGAGATGAAATCATTAATGCAGCTCCCGTGCCCTTGTGCTTTGTTTGCAAGCTGACTTTAATACAGCACCTCAACATATTTAAGTGCAAGAAACATGAAACTGCCAGCTGGAAAATTCAGACCCAGCAGGCTGCCTTCCTAATGCTTTTTCACGAGCAGGCTGAGGAGGAGAGGCTCCTGCAGATGATGAGTTCAATGGAATGACTAAGTCAGTATAAGTCTTGTGGGTGCAGGATCTCTCCATGGATCTGGGTGTCTGTGTTCCCATTGTGATTGCTTTAGCAAGGAAATGCTATCCCTGTACATGCTGTGAAATCCCAGTCAGCCCATGACTGTCCTTCTGATCTTTCTCTGTGTTTACTTCTGCAAATATGCCAGGTGAAGTTTGCACGACCTTGACTTCTCAAACCAGTTCAGAATTTGTAGATTGTGGTTTCACTTGAGCACATACTTTATAAAATAGAAATGTGACAAATGGGACTTTAAACAAGTTCATAACCTCTAAACTTTTATTTTCCTTTTCAGTTCATTCTAAAAGGACCTGTATCATTTGCCTGATCTTAGTCTTGGAGCAAGAGGATTGCAGAGTCCAAGAATACATGCAGTATAATGACTTTTCTTGTCTCCAAACAGGAGTTTAATGCAGTGGTGGTTGAGTACTATGGTTTTATAGGCAGTCTCACTTCTCAGTCCACACCATACTTTTATCTTCAACATCTGTAGGACAACTAATTCAATGCAGAAGAAGTGAGAAGTGACCACATAGTTTTGGGGTGAAGAAAAAGTCTGCAGTTGTAATGACTGAAATGAAGCTTGGCTGCAGACTGATGAGTTACCTCTGGGTAGAAGAGAGGCCTCTGGGGGGACAGAGGAGCAGCCTTCCAGCACCCCTGGGCTGGTCATCAAGGGGACAGAGTCACTCTTCATAACAGTTCGTAGGTGTAGGTTGAAACAAGAGGTTCAGAGGTTCAGAATGGGTAGGAGGGATAACATTTTCTTCAGAGCCAAGCTGTGAGAGTTGAGGTTGCACAGATGATCCCCAGACCTCACAGCTGATCCTGGTTTGAACAGGAGATTTATACAACTGACCTGATGTTGGCAATCTGATGTTTCTTTTTGTCCTTTTCACCCCAAATCAGTTTATTCTAATTTAATGGAAAAGTGAAGCCAACTAAACAATGAAGAGAACAAGATCTTAGTAACATATAGCCTTTCTTTTTCCTTTAAATCTAAACACAAAGTGCCAGGAAAAAAATCTTTCTGAAGTTTTCCTCCTGGAAAAAAAGAGTACAGTTAGAATGTTGGCAGCTCTTCTGCTGAAATAGCTGGGGAGGAGGAGAGGAAAGAACTGGATATCTGATCCAAACCAAACTTAATTTCCTTTATTTTTATAATGGAAGATACATTGTGACTTGGTAGTTCTTCAAGTTATTGTTAACATTATCTGGAGAGCCCACTTTGCTGCAGGATGTGTTTTGCTTGTGATTTCAAATCCAAGGAGTGCAATGGGTCTTCTGTTGTTTTGGTTTGGCAATATAGCTTGAAAGCTCTTTCTCTTCAATTATCTGTGCTTTTGCTTTTATATTTTTAAAGCAAAATTGTGGTGCTTACATTTACTCCACTTATTCTTTGTGAATTCCAACTTTGATCTTCATTGTAATGACAGAATTCACAATATACAGGAGTATGCCTCTGAAATAGAATTCCAATGTTGTAATTTTTATGATGTGTTAATAAGCTTAACTAATAACAGTAGTGTAATTTTTCAGAAGCATTCATTTGCAGCTTGATTTAAAGCCTGAGGAAGTTTTGGGGAGGTTTCTAACTCTTCTCTGAGCTCTTAGACCTATAGCTCAGAAAAATGATGGCTGGATGGTCTTGTGATTCTTGTCGTGCCAAGTATTTCTGAGCTGGTTTACTGCTA